GACAGAGTCTCACTTTGTCACCCTTGGTAGAGTGCTGTGGCATCACAGCTCATAGCAACATCCAGCTCCTGGGCTTAAAGGATTCTGTTGCCTAAACCTCCCAAGTAGCTGGGATTATAGCCGCCAGCCACAACGCCTGGCTATTTTTTGGTTGTAGTTGTCATTATTGTTTGGCAGGCCTGGGCTGGATTCGAACCCTCCAGCTCTGGTGTCTGTGGCTGGCGCCTTAGCTGCTTGAGCTACAGGCACCAAGCCTTAGGCTGCTCTTTAAACCTTTGTTTTTAAAAAGCTCATTCCTCTAAGCGCTTTTCTCGTTATTAGTGTATACAGTTGGCCCTCTGTATCTGTGGGCTCTGAATCTGTGGATGCAACCAACCACAGATGGAAAATATTCAGAAAAAAAAAATGAAATGGTTGGGTCTGTATTGAACATGTAAAAACTTTTTTTCTTGCCATATTCCCCAGACAGTGTAGTCTGACATCTATTTACATAGCATTTACAGTGTACTAAGTATTGTAAGTGACCTAGAGATGATTTAAAGTATGGGAAGGATGTGTAGAGGTTATATGCAAATATTGCACCATTTTATGCAAGGGACTTGATCACCTGTGGATTTTGTTATCTTCAGAGAACCTGGAACCAATTCAGCTGTATTTTGTATACAATAAAATCCAAAATTGTAAATGCGATTGTATGCCCAAAGCTATTATCTGGAAGAAAATTATTTTTCTCAATCTTTATTATTAATCAAAAGGCAAAACGACAGATATCACTAGATTATACTTAAATATATTTTGCAGAGGGTAATATGTCTTCTTTGTCGTGAGGGAGAAGATACTATGGATCTATTTTCAGTGCCTTTTTTGGTAATGACAAGAGTTTTATTTCGGTCAAAACTTGTGTTTGGAAATGCATTCGGATACCCTTGCAGATAATCATGAAGACTCAAGAAAATATTTCTTTCGGTAGAGGATGGTATGGTGTGTTAATATTTCTTAAAAAAGAAATGCATTTTTATGGGTGCGTGCAGTGGTGTGATGTACCCACCAAAGAGGATGAAAATTGGAGTGGGACGGAGCAAAAAAAACTGTACTCTCCCATATAAAACAGAGATACGCACACAGTGCATAACCAGATGTATAATATATCTATAGTATTATACGGACACAGCTCCTGAGTTGGGTGAAATGAAGACCAGCTTGAGAAACAGTGCATGTAAATTCTTATCACTCTCTGCAGCAATGTTGGGGCTTAAGAGTTAATTTCCTCTTCTAGGGATGTCATTTGAATGGTAAATGTGAGAGGTTGGTATTTTTTTTTTTTATTGTTGTTCTTTCCTCTCTAGAGAATTTGTTGTGCTTAGTCATAAGAATAGCATTTTAAAAATCAATCTAAAAGGTTACCAGTCAGTAATAGCATTTGGCCTTGCCAATTAAATAGCCAAGAGAAACCTGAACATTCACTTCAGCTTTTTTATCCGTGGGAGCTGGACCACTCCCCAAGAGGCAAAACGGACATGGTTTGTGGCTATGGGAGGCGCTGGGGCTCTGGGGAGCCCAGAATTCAGTTGGATTCTGTTGACAACCTAGCCTCTCATCTACAAATTAAAAAAAAAAAAAATTAGCATTAGAAGCCTAATTTACAGTAGCCTGTATTGCATAACTTACGAATTGCGCTCTGCCTCAAAATTTTAAGGTATCTGGCCGTAATTATGGGCTTTGGTCTGAAGCAGAACTAACGCAAATTGGTCCATCTGGAAAATTGAATCTTTTCCATTCCTGATTTTATGTAGAATAGATTTGATACTCCAGGGTATTCAGAATTCAGAGCTAAGTCTTTTGGAACATACAACTTATTAGAATCCAGATCTTCGAGACCGTTACGTGAAAAAGTAATCTACATTCATAATAAGGGCAGGTCTTTGTCAGAATGTTTCAGGCTTTCTGGGAACCATTTGACTTACGGTCCATATTGGTGGTTTAGCAAATGATGAGTAGTTTTAATGTCTGTCTAAGTCTTCATATGTTCATGTGCTTAAATCTGGGTTTTAGAATCTTTACGCTGCTCTTGAAATATGTGAATGTCTCCTTAATATACTGGATACGAAGCCAAAAAAAAAAAAAGAATACAAGTCCTTTAAAACATACACTTTACTACTATATTTATCAAAGTGTATTTATTAAAATATGCTAAGTGCTATAGAGCAGCTGCCTTTAGATTCTGTTGCTCATGGTGGGTAGGAGGCAAAGCGGTGTAGTAGAGCTGCCGTCCCTTGTGTAGACTATCACTCTCACGGAGATCCTGCGTGGCAGACGGTGCCGTATCCTGGGATTACCATGGGGAAGACGATCCCTTCTCTGGGCCCTCGGGACCTCATCTATAAGCTGAAGGAATTGAGTTGGGTATTTATCCAACAGCTTTCTGAGTGACAGTTCTATGATTACACATCTTATTCATTTCATTTTAATTCTTTAATCTCATTTTTATTCCTTAGCAAATGCTGATGTCTTAAAGGCAATGGTAGCAGATAACACCGTGTGTGATCCTGAAAGGTGAGTGCTCCTCTCGTGTCCTGGGACATTTTCTTCAATTACTCCCTCAGACATTCTAGACGCTAGAGCAGGTTTCCCAACTTCCCTACTCATGACATTTGGGGCTGGGGAGGTAACTCTTTGCTGTGGGGAACAGTCCTGTGCCTGCTGGGATATTTAACAGCATCCCTGCCCTCTCCTCCCCTTTTTGTCCCTCCCCAGTGGACAGCCCAGAATGTCTCCACATTGTCCATGTCCCCCGGTGGGAGCTGGAATCAGCTCTGATTGAGAACTGTTGGTTGGGGAGAGTACTGGGGCCTTGGAACTGGGAGAGAGTTGGCTGATTCTCATCTCTGTCCCTTATGGCCGTCTGTTCTTGGGTGAGGAACTGACCGCTCTGAGCTCAAGTTCTATCATCTATGAAATGGAGAGCAGCATTATACCAACTTTGTTGGGTTATTTTAGGGAACACAAGGTACCTGGGCATTGAAGGACTCTGTGAACAGCGATGATCACCCAAGCAACCAGGCTGGTGTGGGGACACCTGCGAAGTTGGAAGTGGCTTTTTTTTTTTTGGAGACAAGAGTCTCACTTTTTCACCCTGGGTAGAGTGCTGTGGCATCACAGCTCTCAGCAACCTCAAACTCTTAGGCTTGAGCAATCCTCTTGCTTCAGTTTCTTAAATAGTTGGGACTATGAGTGTGCACCATTACACCTGGCTAGTTTTTCTTTCTTTCTTTCTTTCTTTTTTTTTTTTTAAGAGACAGAGTTTCACTTTGTCGCCCTTGGTAGAGTGCTGTGGCATCATAGCTTACAGGAACCTCCACCTCTTGGGCTTAGGTGATTCTCTTGCCTCAGCCTCCCAAGTAGCTGGGACTACATGTGTCTGCCACAATGCCTGACTATTTTTTGTTGCAGTTTGGCCGGGGCCAGGTTCGGTATATGGGATCAGTATATGGGGCCAGCGCCCTACCCACTGAGCCACAGGCGCTGCCCTAGTTTTTCTATTGTTTTAGTAGAGATGAGGTCTCTGTCTTGCTCGGGCTGGTCTTGAACTCCTGAGTGCCACTTGCCTTAGCCTTCCCAGAGTGCTAGAATAAGCATTTACTGAACACCTATTGGACTGGGAACTATGTTAGAGCTGGGTGTTCACAGACCCTTGTGTATATGTTTTTAAACTTCAACCTGCTTCTTACATCATAAGGGGAGAGACGGCTTGGCTGACACTTCTTTTGTGTAACCAGTTCTGCTTTCCCCTTTTCCTCCCTACCTTAGCCCTGTGACCCCCAGCACTCCTGGGAGCCCACCCGTGAGTCCTGGGCCTTTATCACCAGGGGGCACCCCAGGGAAGCACGTCTGTGGCCACCATCTACACACCGTGGGTGGTGTCATCGAGAAGGACGTGTGTCATCGGTGTAGACACAAGCGGTGGCACTTCATAAAACCCACCAACAAGTCCAAAGAGGGCCGATCCAGGCGCCAAGGAGAGGTCACCGTCCTGTCTGTTGGCAGGTGAGACACCTTCAAATGCTATTCTCCATGTGAAGTGGTTGCTGTGCTGGGTGGCTTTGTGTCTACCCATTAAATGTGGTGTATATATTCCTCAGCCTGGCTCAGGGGACATCTCTGGGCTTTTTTGATGTTTTCTGGTCTGAGTCCTGAATTTTTTTGAACAACATAAGAATCCTGAAAATCAGCTATTGCCCCATCAGGTGGGAGTTGTGTTAATTAAGATGAATACTTGCTGTGACAGATCAAGTGTAGATTTTCAACTGTATACAGAAATAATTTCCCTTGTGACAGTCCAGAGCAGGTGATCCAGAGGTCAGTGAGTGGCTCTTCAAGTGGTCTCCCAGGATCCCAGGTCCCTTCCATGGAGGGCTCTGCTTGGTTTGCGTGGAGGATTGTTCATGAGATAGGCCTGGGAGCAGCTCATATCATGTTTCACAATCGCTTGGCTATAACACCTGGCAAGGACCTGTAGAATGTCATCTTGCCGCATGCCAGGAAGCAGAGAAGGCATGTATCTGGTCCACATCTACGGTCTGTGCCCCATAAGATCCATGCAGATGTCTGTGACTGCTTTCTCCCCTGTTGCTGGGTTTCTTGGTCCTAAAGTACCTTTCTTCTGTGACCCATATATGAGGTGGAGCTCTTACAGTTCAGGTGATGAATCGGTCTGACTTCACCTAAAGCAATTTTGCTCTGCTGTTTGGGTTCCAAGTCTTACTCAGGAACTGTCTTGCTAATGCTACATCCGCACTGGAGTCAGACTGGGTGGGCGCTGAGCATAGCATGGCATAAATGAGAAACCTCTGGGAGGAGTAGGCTGAACCCCTTGCGTTTATTTGTCTGAGTCCTGGCACCACTACTTACAAGGTGTTAACCTCACTCAGTGCCTCAGTTTCCCCTCTGAAGGTGACAGAAGGTGGGGGTGACAATCACTCACCTCCTGGGTTGCTGTGAAGATTAAATGAGGCGACTGATGGTAAGATCTTAGACCAGTTTGGGCACTTATGCATTCAAGAAATGTTGGCTGCTGCTGTTATTATTTTTATTATTATTTATTGAGACAGAGTCTCATTTGATAACCCCTAGTAGAGTGCTGCCATGGTGGCATCATAGCTCACAGCAAGCTTAAGCTCTTGGGCTCAATCAATCATCTTGCCTCAGCCTCCTGAGTAGCTGGGACTACAGGCGCCTGCCACAACATTGGGCTATTTGTTTTAGAGATGGGCTTGCTCTTGCTCAGGCTGGTCTCCGTCTGCTGAGCTCAAACAATCCACTGGCCTCATCCTCCCAGAGTGCTGGGATTACAGGCGTGAGCCACTGCACCTGGCCCTGGCTGCTATTACTATTGCTTTAATTGGGTTGAGTTTCATCGTGTGTTGCACAAGTGGTATGGAGAAAGCCAAAGGGCTGTCTGCTGCTCACAGCAAAACAGACCACACGTGACCACACTGTTCTGCAAAGAGGCAGAGTCGTAGGAATTTATGAATGCAAATGAATGAGAACCTGCAGCTTGTTTACACAAAGCGTATGTTCTTGGCTTAAACAAAAAAAAAATCTGCTAAAATTTTTAACACAGCTTTTTAAAATGCCCCGAGTCCAACTTTCCTTCTTGGGTGTTAGATACTATGAGACTTTGCATACCACAGGCTGTGTTTCAGCACATGTTGCTTAAGCGAGTCTCACAATTTGACAGAATAAATTTGTGTTCACAACTACTCCCTGTTTCTTCTTTCACTTCCAGAATTCTCCTCCTTCTCAGAGTTGGTGATCTCATTTTGGACAAGGAAGAGAATTTGTTTTATTGCAGCTTTAAGGGAGATTAAGACCAGAACTGGAAAATAGGGATTTGACGATGGTGCTAGAAAAACAGACAAATTAAGGAAATTTCTTTAACTTCTCTCTTAATTCTTAGGAAAATCTTTAACTTTCTTAGTTTTTTTAATCCTTAATGAAAATTAACCTTTTTTTCCTTTTTTTTTTTTGAGCCAGAGTAAGCCTAACTCAGAGCAACCTCGAACTCTTGGACTCAAGTGATCGTCTTGCCTCAACCTCCTGAGTAGCTGGTACTGCAGGAGCCAGCCATGCCTGGCTAGTTTTTCTATTTTTAGTAGAGACAGGGTCTCACTCTTGCTCAGCGATCCACCCATCTCAGCCTCCCAGAATGCTGGGATTCTAGGCATTAGCCACCACACCCAGCCCAATTAACCCAATTTTTGACAAAGGAAACCCCACACCCTACCACCAAGTAATATTGATAAAATGTGCTACTCACTGTGTGTGGCTCATCTGCCTATGTGTGTTGGGGTAGACCTGTCTGACAAGTGTCTGTTTTCATAAGGGTGGTCAAGTGAATGTCCCGATTATGTCTGTCTAATTTGTAACCAGTCTTGCTTTTATGCAGACTTCTGTGACTAAAAAAAAAAAAACAAAAAACAAAAAACTGATGTAAAAACTCATGTCATTGTTAGAGATCGCAACTCAGGCTGTTTAATATTTGAGTACTTGTGTTTTTTCATGCATTTTTCATGCTCCATAAAACATCCAGCTTAGTCTGTAATGTGGTTGCCTGAAAATCAGCTGGAAAGTTTGGCAAGGGACAGGGAGATTTGCTGGCAAGGGATGTCCCTCCTCCCGAATATGTTCTTTCCCATTTGTGTCCTAACTTCTGACTGAGTTCATTTGGGATCCCAGATGGATGGATGATTTTTGCTTCATTCATAATTCTTATTTATTGGAAAAGCAAACCCATCGTATCTCTTCTTTCCCTGCCCAGGTTTAGGGTTACAAAAGTGGAACACAAGTCAACCCAGAAGGAGCGGAGAAGTTTGATGTCTGTTGGTGGAACAGAAAGCGTCAACGGGGAGGTGCCTATGACGCCTGTGAAGAGAGAACGCAGCGGCACCGAGTAGCAGGTCAGCCACATGGAGGGTGGGGTGTGCATGGTGGGGAGGAGGTACTGAGAGGTACTGAGAGCCTTCCCCAGGGTCCTGGAACTGGTGAGATGGGAGAGAGATGAGGGACTGAGCATATACCCTGTCTGTCTGTCCAGAGCTTTTTTTTTTTTTTTTTTTTAAAATAGAGCCTCGCTCTGTGCCCTGGATAAAGTGCCATGGTTTCATAGTTCACATTCACAGTAACCTCAAACTCCTCAAACTTTCACTTTGTCACCCTTGGTGGAGTGCTATGGTATCACAGCTCACAGCAACCTCAAACTCTTGGGCTTAAGTGATTCTCTTGCCTCAGCTTCCCAAGTACCTGGGACTACAGGCTCCCACTACAATGCCTGGCTATTTTTTTATTGCAGTTGTCATTGTTCAGCAGGCCTGGGCTGGGCTTGAACCTGCAGCCTTGGTGTATGTGGCTAGCACCCTAGCTGCTGAGCTGCAGGAGCTGAGCCCAAATCCAAAATTTTAAATTATAAAATCACCACAGTGTTTAAATGTTGGCAGCTTATAAAATAGCTTTTAAGAAAAAAAATGCAGGCCAAATGACTCCAATCTTGTCATTATTTTCAGTTGAACTATGATTTGGAAAAGGCTAGAGCAAGCAGAGCAATGCTTTCTCCATTAGTTGAATTGGAAACCACTTTCCTTCCTGTGTCAGGATTCTGAAACACCCTCAGGAGAGAGGTTTATTTTTCCACCAAGTGTTTTTTTTTTGAGACAGAGCTTCAAGCTGTCACCCTGGGTAGAGTGCTGTGGCATCAAAGCTTACAGTAGCCTCCAACTCCTGGGCTCACGTGATTCTCCTGCCTCCGTCTCCCAAGTAGCTGGGACTACAGGCACCTGCCACAGTGCCTGGATATTTTTTAGTTGCCGTGTCACTGTTGTTTGGCGGGCCCGGGCTGGATTCGAACCCGCCAGCTCATGTGTACCTGGTTGGCGCCTTAGCTGCTTGAGCCACAGGTACCAAGCCAGTACCAGGTGTTTTTAAGCAGAAAAAAAGCAAAAATGAATGCTTTTTGGTTTAGAGGTTTTAATTTTGGAAGATATTTTAAAAAAAAAGAAAGAAAGAAAACAACTCCAGAAGACTGTGATGATTTGATCCTGGCTTAGCTTTCATTTGAATCTTCTGGTGCTGTTCTGGCTTGAGTAGAAACATCTCTCTCATGTTTCTTAATCTGTGTTAAACTGCAAGTGAGCGACCTGGAACTGATCTTGGTCTAAAAGCTCCAGTGGAGCTGTGAGACCCTGGACAGAAGGCAGAAGAGTTTACACTTGCAAAGAGCGGGGAGGGTAGACATGGGGGAGTGGTCAGATGGGGTTCTCAGGTGCACGGACGTAGCGGAGTTGAACCTAAGCCCTGCAGTCCGGCTGCACGTTCAAATCCCGCTTCACCACTCATGAGCACTGAGGCCTGGGCAAGGTATTTTCCTCGCTGGAAAATAGACTCTACCTGTCTCAAGGGGTGGCAGTGAGAGTTCCATGAAGTTATCCAGGTGGAGCCCAGCGCCTGGCTCATAGGAAATGCCCAGCCTGTGCTACTGATTATTATGAGTTCGTTCAGTTTTGGTTGGTGTGGCTGAGTGGAGGACAAAAGTAGCTTTTGGGGGTGAAGCCTCTCTGATAATCTTCTGGGCTCAGAGGGGCTAAAGATGCTCTGGAGATAATCTGGGGGAGTCGTGCTCCTGAGTTTTCTGAGATGTAGGGGATTTATCTGATAGCATTCTAAAGCTAGTCCCTGCAATCTTGATCTTAGGGCCTCTTCCCCTGAGTTTAGGAGCCAAATTTTTTTTTTTTTTTTGTAGTTTTTGGCCGGGGCTGGCTTTGAACCTGTCTTCTTTAAGAGTAGAAACTGTGCAGAAGAGTCTGTTCTTGGCTTTTCGATTACTGGTGACCTTGAGAAGGGAGCCAAGAGGAATTTAGGAAAAGGAAGGGGATGATGAAGATAATAATAACGGTAGCTAATGTTAGTTTAATACTCTAGTCTTCTAGACATCCTCCAGATAGCATGTTTATACTGATAATATGACACCACACATGGCATATTATAAACATCCAATGAGCTTGGTACTATTATCCTAGTTTTACAGATGAGGAAAAGAATGAACGGATACAATGACTGAAAAGGGTAAGTTATGTGTACAAGGTCACATAGCTAGAAAGAAGAGTTGAGATTCCAACCTGGATCTGACTGACAAACTCCCTTCTAAGGCAGCCTAGACCCATGAATGGGGAATATTTCCACCAATGATTTCTAGAACTTCATGGCCTAATATCATAGCCACTGCTCACCTATGGCTATTTAAATTTAAATTAATTAAAATTAAAAATTTAGTTCTGCATTTTTACCAGTCACATTAGTGTTTGGTAGCCACACCCAGGGCCACCATAAAGGACAGTGTAAACCGAAAACTTTTCCATCATCACCGAAGTTTTACTCAACAGAGAAGATGGCCTGTAGATGTTAGAATTGGACCAATGACTGACCTTGGTAAATCGGAGATGCATTCTGATTCCAATCAGTGAGAATTTGCCTGTCTGGAAGAGAACCATCTGGCTATACAAGGTTAAGGTGAGGAAGGCCCAGGCCTTAGATGCAGAGAAAATAATGGGTCATAATGACAGATGGGTATGAGTCATCGGGGCATTGTGTGGAGATGGAGAAATCATCTATCTCGCTCGCCCTCAGGCAGGAACTGGAAGGTGATCCTCTCGGGCCCTGAATAGAGCTTGGCTAACTAGGTGCCATGGCTGATTTTGGCTGCTGCTGCTGGAAGAACAACACTCCAGATCTAGAAGGTTAAAAGAATTAGGAGTGCTCAGCTGGTTGTCTTGGCCCGAATTCTATCTGTATCCAACTATAGGAATTTGGTCCAATTATCTGAAGTCCTGATCACATTCAACTGGTTTATAATTTGATATTCTTTGCAAAGCACACTGTTATCCAGCAGGATTATATAAAAGAGGACTGGATTTGATCAGAGGACATGGGTTCAAATCAGGCTTCACCATCTGGAAATTGTACTTAACTGTTCTACGCCCAGTTTCTTTGAACATGAAATAAGGACATTAGATTGACTCATTTATGACAAATGCCAAGTGAGTGTCTGGGACATAGATGTCTCTCAGCAGAGGCGAGTCCTATTGCGTCCTGCTGTCTCATTCAGGAATGAGCACATGAGTGGCCTTAGAAAGGGAGTGCATTCGAGTCTCCACCTTGCTGTAATTAATTTGCAACTAAAAATTTTTATTATGGAAATTTTCAAACAAACTCAAAGTAAAGAGAATAATACCATAAATGCCCATGATCCATAGAGTAAATTAATTATAATGCCTAAGCTTTTTTTTTTTTTTTTGAGACAGTCTCATTTTGTCACCCTTGATAGAATGCCATGGCGTTTTAGCTCACAGCAAGCTCAAACTCTTGTGTTCAAGTGATCCTCTTGCCTCAGCCTCCCAAGTAGCTGGGATGACAGGCACCCATCACAATGCCCAGGTATTTTTTAGAGAGTCAGTCTTGCTCTGGTTCAGGTTGGTCTTGAATCTGTGAGCTCAGGTGGTACACCTGCCTTGGCCTCCCAAGTGCTGGGATTACAGGCGTGAGCCACTGCACCCGACCTTGCCTACAGCTTTTCGAATATTCTGTACTTGGCATGCTTTGAAAAGCACCTCTTGTGTTTTACTTAATTTTCATGACAGCAATAGGTAGGTGCCAGGTAGTACACTGTTAAGCGTAGAGAGTTCAGCCAACTTGTTTGGCATTATCAGCAAGAATGTGATGGATTTCAGAGTCAAATACAGGCAGCCTGGCTTCAGGTGTCATGGGCTTAATTCAGCCGGGTCCAGGACAAGCAGGTCTCGTGATCAGAGAGATCACAGTGTTTGATTACCCCAGTGGACTATGGACTCTGAAAAAGAAGGGAAGGGAATATTCATTGGTGTTTAAAAAATATATATATTCATTAAAATTTTTTTGCTAGTTTTTTTTTCAAAAACAAGTATGTTTGGGGCATTTAACATGATTAGAGAAATCCTGAAATTTTGCCTTCTGGGCTAAAATCTCTGGCACTAGACTGAAACAGAGATTTGTGCTAGAATAATATAGCTAATACAGTAGGAGAGGGGTACTTGTGTCTTTTACACAATCAAATATATGCTTTGAAGTTGTATTTTTTTCCTGAAAGATGTGTTTGCTCAAATTTGGATTTTTAGTTAAGCTAGAATACTGAAATTGTTAGTTTTACTGTAGGATGATTAAAATATTTCAATGAAAATATATATCTACTTATTGGTTAGCTTAGCTTTCT